TCAGATACAAAGGACACGGTGGCGAGTGCGATTCAGAGAATGAGCAGGTTTCACGAAGCTATAGAAGCGTTGTCCTTGGGAAGATTAAGTAGCAGTTTACTTTCTCCTCACAAATTTCTTGAAATTTTGACGTCAATCGAAAGGACTGTTCCAGCCCCCAGTAAATTGTTTGCTTCGGTAAGCATAGATAATTTACATAAATTTTACAGTGCAGCTCGGGTCAGGTCGTACGCCACCAGTAACAGTTTAGTGGTAGTTGTCAAATTGCCCTTAAGGCAGAGTGATAATCTTTTCCAAATTTTTGACGTTGTAGTATTTCCAGTGTATGATAAGGCGGTAAAAAAATGGGTCAAATGGGATGTTGATGAAACTAAATTGTTGATAAGTAAAGATAGACAGAGTTATTCCATCTATAACAGTTTTCAGATGGAGTCAGTTCACTCCATACAAGGTTTAAAGGTTTACCCGCTTTCCGGTGTCATTTTGGACGTTTATAAACGCCCTAGCTGCGTAGTTGAATTATTTTTGCGCTCTAAGACTCAGCTGTGTGGCCGTAAATTGATTTCGGGGTTGCAGTCACCCGTATTGGTGAAAACTGCATACCGTTGGATTTATAGTACCTCGGGGGACGATCGGATCACGCTGAACTGTTACAGCGAGGGCGGACGTTTAAATGTTACAGCGCTGGAACTAAATGGTGTTGGTGAACTGCCCCGGGGTAGGCCATGTGATGTGCTGGCCGATGGGTACAAGATACCGGCTCAATTCTTTGGAAACTCGGAGCAGAACATGTCCTTGGGTACGATTGTCTTTCCGGAGTTAAAAAGTGTCCTTTCGGAAGATGAAATAAGTATTTTTAGAGATGATATTAATGCCACGTTGGAGGTCCTTAAGGGACTGGATGACAAATTAGGTACGCTTAGCGTTAAGGAGTATCCTCTGGAAGGGGCGCTCCAGTACCTGAGATACCATAAAGAGTACCGTGCCCGGTTCAGATATTTGGTAGTGAGTTTAGGAACCGGGATATCGGTGGTAATATTTGTTCTTGTGTTTAGGTGGAGACGAGTGGTTGCCAAGTGTTTTGCTGCCCTGGGTACCTCTGCCCGCCTGTTGCGTCCACGAGGTCGACGGACAGCTGCTGAGTCCCCAGGCCAAGCTATGGTGATGGAGCCGGCCGGCAGTGTCGATGTGGAAGCTGCGTCAGCTGTTGACAGCTCAGCAAGGTCGCCTGACGCCTCTCAAGTGAAGCGACTCAGCGCTATGATGAATCAATGTTGCAGCTAAGTTGTTTTGGTCAGGCCTGACGAACGTTCAAAAGTCGTTTCATCAAGGTGGAGTGAGCTCTTATGGACGTACATATGGTGCGCGAATGTAGGCCTACAAATTTGTGCGGAAAGATAAGTAGTTTGCGAATATAGTATATGATAAGGTTTAGTTCATAACATCATGGGACAACGTCAATGAACGTTAAAACGGGTAGCCGTCGCGTGTTTCAATTAATTCTTGTTTATTCGTTCTTAAGGTGCTTTGTTTTATCTATCTGTTCAAAAGTTAAATGTTTTAGGTGTAGCTGTTGGTAGTTAGATTTGTTAAAGTTGAGTTTGTTTTAAAGGTAGTTTAAAGGGTTTTTATGTTCTAAGTAGGCTAAATTTAGCTGTCACCATAACCGTAGCTGCAATTCTGCCAGGCGACCACATGAAGGTTGTGTTGCGCAAACGGCTGGAGTGTGTGGGCCAGGCAATAGTTTCTTAAAGTCATCGGAGTGAGCGTAAAAAAAAAAATTGCTCAGTGGAATAATTTGGAATTGCAGTGAAACGGTTCCTTGTGAAAGGGCTTGATCACCCCTTAAGCAAGAAGCGTTGGTGATAGGTATGATAAGTTTTGATGTGTTTAGTATTTGTGAATAATTGTTGTGCATAGGTTAGGTTCTATTTGTTTTATTTATTGTTAGGCGTATATTTATGTTGTAACAATATAATTATTTATTAGTTTGCTTTACGTTTAAGGCGAGCAGCCAAATTGATGTTTTATATGATGATGTGTAATTGGGTTGCGAATACGCACGGAAATGGACTTGATTAGTAATCATGTTAGTTAAGTACTACATATTTTTGTTAATATTTAGTTAGGTTACGTATTTAGGTTATTGTGACACTATATATCAATATTTGGAATGTCATATTTCAGCAGCAATTGTTGTTAATTTAGTTACTATAGAGCTGTTGAAATTTTATTAATGTCTTAGGGTTCAATTTGTAATCACATTTGTATTTTTGGTTTAAATGCACTTCATTTATGGTGCTAGCATTTAAGTATGTGTTATTTTAAATTTGTGCTTATATAGATACGAGTAGGGTTTTATTTGAATTTGTAAAGATGTGTGGACAAAGGGAAGGTAGCGAGCGTTTCGTCAAATACATTTTCAGACAAAATTTAAGGGGAAAGATGTTTGAATGCAAATAACTTAAAAAGTTAGCTGTGAATTGGCTTGAATTAATCCGGTAATTAATTGGTTTACCATGTACCGATAGTTTGTGACACTTTTAAGTAAAGGGGGGGTTCAATAATACCAAGACATGTTGGCTGGAGTAGCGCGCGGTCATTGCACCAGATGAGTTGTTCACTGGGCGGTGCGACGTATTGTTGTGCTGAGTCGGCGTGACCTTGCAGTCAGCCGCAAGTACACACTGGATCAGCTGTGAGGAAAGTCAGCTGTTCTCATATTACTCCACTACAGTATGACATACGCATCAACTGTTGCCATTGTATGTTGGTAATGTGGAAGTTTAATTGAAGGCCTGAGGGCAGGCCTCCGTCTGAGTTGGGGAGAATGTGACGGTCAGGAAGTTATTGACCGTATTTTTTATTGTTATTATGGATAACATCCCAAAGCCCAGTATTTGATATCGACATTGGTAAGATGGGCAATCGTGTCGCAACTCCGCTAGTCAGCATTGTCTTGTAATTTATTTGGGGTTTTGTTGAGTGTCACAAAGTATTGGGTACATCGATTGCTACATCACGTTCGGTTGTTTGGATCGTGGCATGGAATGCATGGCCTGATTGTTTTGCTGACATGAGGTGTCATCATTCTGTGTGACGTGTGGGACCTCCGAACCTGGAGTAGTCAGTCAGAGTCGACATCGAGGTGTCGGTGAGCCGCGGTGATGCGCTACCCTTCCCTTCCCCGCGGGTGGGCATGTCCGTCTATTTTAATATTTTGATAATTATTTAAGTTCTCCAAACATGTTCAATTTTAAATAGTTTAACCCAAATCGTCTGTATCACCAACCGTTAGCAACTTATCAAAGAAGTCTTTTTGTTCATTTAACACTCGGCCCGTAATAAATTAAATACTGAATTTTCTACTAGCTGCATTTGTTTATTGAGTTTCTACCCTTCCCGTGCGCGGTCGTTACAGAGTTATCAGACCAACAAGATAACTCCCAGGGTCTATCCATATCAAGTGATCCAGAAATAAAATAATTGGTTGCTTGACCATTTTTAAAAATAATAATATTTTTATCCTAGATACCTATATCAATCCTGGGTTCAAAAGTGGTTTTAAATTTTTTTTATCTCTTTTGTTATTTCTACGGCGGCCATTTTTGTTTTGCGGAACACGCAAATTTTTGCTCTTGTAAGGGTTTGCGTTAACTTGCATAACTCGGTAACCATGAACACTAGTGATGAAATTGTTTTTGTGTGTGTAGCAACTCAGTAGAACTGTTTGTATTTCAAATATCAACCCTCAGACTTAATTCCTTTAAAAGTTATCATTTTTCAAAAACTGAAATTTTTTGAAAAATTTAAATTTTGAGTCTCAATATCTTTGTTTGTATTTTATGCCAACAACCCAGCTGGCACCCTTAGAGGATCCGACTAATTTTGTGTCTAGATTACGACTCAAGATTTCATCAATAAAACCAACAAATATCAAGAGACACGGCATTAACCGAAGCTTCATTTTTCGTGATTTGGACACATGTTCACACATTTTTCTGAGAGTGGATGCTATGAGAAAATCTTTACAACATCCATACACCGGACCTCATCCAGTGATCAAGAAAGACAGTAAAACTAACACAATAAAAGTGAATGGTTCTAATGTTAAAGTTAGTCTTGACAGAGTTAAACCGGCCTATGTCCTTCAGAATGATGAAGTTAACTGTATCTCAAACTTCAAAAGATGTGGATTTTCAAAAGTCGTATACGACAAAGTCTGGAAGAAAAGTGACATTCAAGAATCCAATTTCAGTTTGATGGAAATTGCCTTTGTCCTTGCTGTTATTATTATTATTTTTTTTTTATTTGTTATTTTTTGTGACTTTTCGGAACCCTCCAAAAACTACATGGACTTCCAGTCTTCGCAGGGGGCTCCTGTAGTGAGTTGACAGATCCATTAGCTGACAGATGTTTTAAATAGTTTTATTGAATTTTGGTTGCTAAGAAGAGAAAAATAAACAAAGAGATTCTTTTAGGCTTTTCCAACAAAAGTGGTTCATTTTTATTTGCTCTAAACAAATAATTTTTAATTACTTTTAAAAGTATGATAAATTTAACAATAATATTTAGTGGAAACCTCTAGACTTTTATTTAAGGTATTTCTCCTATTTAAATGAGGTTCTTTTCACTAAAAAATAAACAAATATTCTATTCTATTCTATTCTAAGATGCTGTATACAGCAAAGGACCTGATTTCAGAGCAAAAATGGGATAATGCAAAAGCTTGTCTGAAGTCCATTAAGAAGGAAGAGTTCCAGGCTTGTTTCCAAAAGTGGCAGGAGTGCTGGAATAAGTGTGTGGAGTCCCAGGGGAACTATTTTGAAGGAGATCACATGTTAAAACAAATTTATCAATAAATTAAGCTTTTCCTGAACATTGTGGGATACTTTTTGAACAGACCTCATACACAATCATGTCTACAGAATTGTATTGGGCTTGAATATAATTGTAACTGAGAACTGTATTTGATATTTACTATTTGGTATTAAACTCACCACCAACTTCTTGGCGAGCAGGTTAGTACAGTAGGCAACTCCCAGGGGATGACCAGTGGCTAGGAACATTGTTGTTCCAAGAGGTACAGCCTGACCCTGCAGTAGACGGGACAGTTTGTACCACTTATCCTCTAGATGTAGGTCGTCCAGTGGGGAGATTGCGTTGACAGGCACGTTCACAACTTTCTAACACCATTACCACAAAAAAAGGTTCTAAGTAAGATGATTAGTTCCACAAACCCTCTATATGAATTTAATCAAACAAATTATTGTTAATTTATATAGCTTCAGGATTGCAAGATAAGACAAATAATGGCTAAAACATACCTTGTAAGTAAAAAAATCCTGGTTTTAAGCTAAATGCATCGTGTAGTAAAAATGAGTTGTAGTGAACAAGAATACAGCCTCAAATTACACAAAGGGTTATACCTAAGGATTTTAATGAGGAGAAAAAAAGAAAGGGTTTGCCATAGATACCAACTTACCAAGGTCGGAGTGAATTTATGCAGTAATTATAACCACATGGCTAAAGGCAAAACAGCAGGTTTTAGACATCCCGGTCCTGTTTTTTTTTTTTTTTTTTTTTTTATAAACTAAACAAGATTACGCTTTATAACAAGGTTACTCACAAGTCTTGCTGGATAACAGAAACAACTAACATTCCATTAATTATCAAAGTGAACAATAAACTAAACTTACTTGGCAGTCAAATCGGAACTTTTTCAAAGACTCGTTAGTAATTAGAGGTTGGAGTTTTTTCTCGTAGTCGTCCAAATACTTCCTCAGCCCCAGATGCCACTTCAAACACTCAGCACTAAAGCAGTCATCTACACTTCTCACTGAAAACCCATACTTCAGTAGTAGGATTACAAAAATGTACAGGACAACCTAGCCTACTCAACACATAGTTTAACAATTGACTTCATTTCAATTTTTGGATCAATAAAATATAATTACCCTGTCTTCCCGAACTTTCCGCCTCTTTTGGTTTCTCATTTTCCATCTTCTCTTTTTCAATTTTCTCATTCTCTTCTTTTTGCCTTTGTTCTCTTTCAGCCGCTACCTGTTTTATTCGCAGCACCTTCTCAATCTCATCTTTCTTCTCTTCTTCAGCTTTGTCCATCGTAGCATTAATTTGTCCTGAAAATACCAAAGCAGAAATATTGACTAAGGATATATTTAACTACTGTACTTGAAACAAGATTTATGATTCACAAAATATAAAAGTAATTCAGAAAATACAGGGTGTTTTTAAAAGAATGCCGGGATTTCAAACGGTCGTTGCTCGGGACTATTCAAGATAATTAAATGATTTAAACGTCAAATTGAAGGGAAAAGAATAAAGTTTTTTTCTCATTCTTTCATACAATTCGGAATGATTTAATAAAATTCAGATTTTCATAAATCTTATATGAGCGTAAAACTGGCAAAGTCTGTACGCTTAGGGCGATCGGCAGGTTTGTCTGATGTGTTAACTGAATCTTTTCGGCACAAAGACTCTAACTTTTATAGATAACATCATAAAGTGACCAATTTAGGTTTGTTAAACTGAAGACTTTGTCAGGCAATCGATTTTTTCGGGCCTCTGATGCAGAATTGTCGGATTTCTTTTACTATGTCATCGCTTGTTTTTAGCCGGGCAGGTGAATGTCATTTCACAAACACTTCGGTGCCACTCAACTCATTAAACCAGCTGCAAGTTTCTGTATCATCAAGTAGATTTAAGTTTAGTTTAATTTAGCAATGTATATAAACTCTGCGAACTACATATTACAATCTGTGCCTTCTGTTGCGCCGTAAACGTCGTACTGGCAACTGTCGTAAGGCGAATGAGTCACAATAGCGACCTATCACCCCGCACCTGTTTTACACATGCTTAAGTCAAAGTTTCCTCCCTTGCCACATGGGTTACAAAACTTTGTTATTTTAGCTTCAATTTGACGCATAAAACGTTTAGTTACCTTGAATAGTATCCAAGCAATTACCATTTAAAATCCCGGCATTCTTTTAAAAACACCCTGTATTTTTTAAATCAGGATTAGGAAAAGATGTACGACAAAAGAATACAAAAAATAATACTTATTTCAAAACAATTAGTATGATTAAAAACAAAAAATAGGTGGTAATAAATTTTACCTGATTGTTTTATGTGTTAAATCATGGTAAAAAAGCTCTTACCTACTTTTATCTTTAAGCCTTTACAATATTAAGAACTTGGTTGGAAAAAGTAAGTAAAAATACATATTTGAATAAAAATATGTTATTTTTAACATTTGCATACTTACCAACATGTTTAGAAAACGTATCAGCTATTACTGTGATCTGTTGTACAAGATTTTCAGCTAACTTCAAATCTTGCGGGGTGACGTTTCCTTCCTAAACACAATATTAAAATAAAATGAATTGCAAGAGAATTTGTCAAATACATGCATAGGATAAAACAATCATTGAAAATGAAATAAATATGAAAAAGAAGTGCTAAAAAAAATGTTTGCTGATTAGTTTGGATAATTTTATTCGTAAAAACAGAAACGCAAAAGTTAAGGAAGGAGGAATTGATACACTACTAACACCAGAACTAACGGGGGACTGATAACAAATTTTGATAATAATTCTTAAGTCCTTCTAAAGATTTTTAGATCTTAGTTTCAATTCTAAAGTTGATTATTGATGTGTATCTATTTCAATCAGCAAAAGAAAAGAACCACATTAATCTCTCCCACATTCCGTTGCAAAGCACAGTGGTTTGACTGATGGTATTGATATATATTTTAACACTGATGCAAATCTTTGAATTAATTTAATAAGCAGACAATATTTTTGTCATCAGCTAAAAAAAAATTTGCATTAGACAAAATTAAAGCAAACTTGGTTCAAACATGTATATATACTAGCAGCTATACCCGTGCCTTGCAACGGGGTCAGTATGCAAAAGAGACAATGTTGGTTCTTTGAAAAAGCCTTAAAAATGGTTTCACACCTACCACTTAATTAAGAAACAAAATTGAACTGTATTACTTAACTTAATAATAATAGTACGTTTTTGTTAACTCAGACTGTAAACACTTTTTTGGCTACCTAGGATACAAAATCAATGATAGATTTTGAGGTATAATCAAATAACATGTTGAATGGTTTGTACTGTAAACGCAAAGCTATCACAATAGTTCCAATCCTGTCAATAGTGTAATTTTCTAACATATTCTAGTGAAATAACAATCAGGCAAATGGAAATTGTTGTAAATGGACTTAAATTATGTAGAATGATAAAGAGAAAGGTGTTTTAGGTACAAGTTTTACTCAATACAAAACCACAACATAGCTTTTCACACAACACATCTGGTATCCATGACAACTAGCTTATTCAGAACACATGTGATGCCAAAATGAACTGTTCACACAATATTTCAACACCCTCCTTATTTGTGGAATCCCTGGAACTTAATGCAGTCTCTGAATTTTTCACTGTCAAGCGCCTTTGTTAGAGAATCAGCAACCATCTCTTTAGTAGGAACGTAAATGAAGGAAAGCTGTTTGGATTGAATCTTCTCCCTCAAGAAATGATGACTCACATCAATATGTTTCGTCCTGGCTTGGTACGTTCCATTCAAGGCTAAGTTCCTGGCTCCCTGGTTGTCACAATATATCTGTATCAGACTCTTTGAAGATGGGTCAATTTCTTCAGCTAAACCTCTTAGCCACAATGCTTCTTGAGCAGCTGAAGACATTGCCATATATTCGGCTTCTGTTGTCGAGAGTGCCACAGTAGGTTGTCGTTTGGTACATTACGAAATCGGACCATCGCACTTCATAAATAGGTACCCCGTGACGGATCTTCTTTCGTCTGGATCACTTGCCCAATCAGCGTCACAGTATACAAACAAGTTTCCACCCTTAAAACCATCGTACTGTAACTTCCACGATGAAGTTCCCTTTAAATATCTGAAGATTCGTTTTATGCCAGTCCAATGCTCAATCCCTGGATTGTTGTTAAATCTACTCAGATTACTGACAGCATATGCGATATCAGGTCTTGAAACTTGGGCTGCAAACAACAGACTACCAATAGCTTCTTGATAAGGAATTGTTCTAATCTTCTCCTTTTCAACTTCATTTTTCGGCATCTGAGCTTTACTAAATTTATCACTGCAGCTCATTGGAGTTGATACTGGGTGGCACTGGTCCATTCTGAAACGTGTCAGCATCTTGTTGATGTACGTTTCTTGGCTTAACCATATCTTTTTCTCCTTTCTGTCCCTGGTCAGTTGAAATCCCAAGACAGACTTAGCTTCACCAAAATCTTTCATTTTAAAAGACTTCATCATCTGAGTTTTCATTTCCTGTTTAAGATTCTGATTGTTGGAGAATATTAAAATATCATCAACCCAAACTGCGAGCAAAAACAATACACCTTCTTCAATTTGATAATAAACACAACGGTCAAATTTCGATTGTTTCAGTCCCAGACCTTGTAAACAAGAATCAAGTTTTTGGTTCCACACCCTGCTGGCTTGCTTGAGGCCATATATACTTTTATGAAGGCGGCAAACTCTAGAAGTCCCGTCTTCATATCCAGGTGGCTGGCACATGTATATCTCCTCTTCCAGTTCTCCCTGCAGAAAAGCGGAAACAGCATCCATTTGATCGATGTCTAAGTCGTGTTCAGCAGCAAGAGCTAATAGAAACCTAATCGAACTGTAAAGCACAACAGGTGAAAATGTTTCATCATAGTCTATTCCCCTCCTTTGGTCGAATCCTTTAACAACTAGCCGTGCTTTATGACAAGTCACCTGGCCCTTCTCGTTTTCCTTTGATTTGAAAACCCATTTACAGTTTAAAGGTTTCCTCAAGGCTGGGGGTTCGACCAATTCCCAAGTCTTATTTTCGATTTGAGACTTAAACTCACGGTCCATAGCATTCTTCCAAGAGTCTTTTAACTCACTATTCAATACTTCTTCGCGAGATATTGGATCGGATAGCTCGCCAGAGAAATAAGTAACATAATCGTTCAACGCAGCTGGGAGAGGTTTCTGACGCGCTGCGGTCGAGTTGTTGTGCCCGGAATAATGTTCATGTCAGTAACATCGTCGTTACTTCTGTTTACACCAGATCCTGTTGGAAGCACATCATCATTATTGGACACATCAGGACCGGTTTGTGTCTGACCACTAGTACTGTCCTGACTATCAGACAAACTTCCTGTTGGTTCGGGAAACACATAAAAATCTAAGTCTTTACTCACATTTTTCAATAAAGAACTTCCCCACTGATTTTCAGAAAAAGTAACGTCTCTAGATATGAAAGTTATTTTCTTCTGAGGATCATACAACCTGTACCCTTTACTAAACTGACAATAACCAACAAATATACAAGGAGTAGATCGTGGACTAAGTTTTTTATGTTTCTCGGCAGAAATATGAGCAAATGCCTTACAACCGAAAATTCTGAGATGTTGTAGAGTAAGCTTGTTACCTGACCACACTTGTATTGGAGTTAGTTCCACGGACCTGCATGGTGATCTGTTCAGAAGGTAAGCAGCAGTATTCACAGCTTCAGCCCAAAAACTAGATGGAAGCCCAGACTCTATCAGCAAACATCCTGCTCGTTCTAGGAGGGAACGGTTGAGACGCTCTGCCTTTCCGTTTTGCTGAGGTGTGTAAGGACATGTAGTTTGATGCACAATACCTGATGACTTAAAAAACTCAGTTAAGTTGCGATTACAGTACTCCGTACCATTATCTGTACGCCACACTTTTATCTTCTTGTCAGTTTGTTTTTCAGCATACTCTTTGAACGTTTTAAAGTGACCATTGACTTCGTCCTTTGATCTTAAAAAATAAACAAAACACATGTGACTGTAGTCATCTAAAAAGGTCAAAATATACCTAGACCCTCCAAGACTATTCACTTCCATAGGACCTACCAAGTCAGAATGCACTAGCTCCAGGTAATGGCTACATTTAGACTCACTCTTAGGAAAGGGTAAACGATGGCTTTTTCCTAACATACAGATATCACAAATAGTTTCTGGCTTACTACCAGAAATGTTGATATCATTAATTAATCTTGTAAGGCTATCCTAATTCAAATGTCCCATACGCTGATGCCAGAGTGTTAAGCCATTGCTTTGCATGGATAATGCAGATGTGTTCGTAGGCATATCCAACTTAAACAGATTGTTTATTAAACTAGCAGAAGCAATGAGCTGTCCTGTTGAATTGAAAACTTTGGCTCCATCACTATTGAATACCACAGAGTTTCCTTTATTTACAATTTGACTCACTGATAAAAGATTAACTTTTAAGTTAGGCACATAATGTACATTACTCACATTTGCTTCTGAGACCTCACCAGAAATAATTATTGGAAGCTCCAAATCACCGACGGTATCAGTCACCATTGTCCCATTATTTGCTGTGGTGATCGTTAGTGCTTGGCCTTTTCTTGCGTTCAGAAGCATGCTAACATCAACACATAAATGACAAGATGCACCGCTGTCTAAAAAGAACTCATTACTAACGCCCGATTGCATTGAAAATGCAGCAAAGAGTGACGTATTAGATTTCCTAGAGTTTACGTTATTTTTGCCCACTACTCTCGTAGATGTACAGTTCTTTGAGATGTGACCGTAAACATTGCATTTATAACATGACGGACCTTTCTTCACATTTTTGTCCGAACTACTCGTGTTTCTGTTCTTTTGATACACTTTGTGAACTGTCCCTCTTGAACTGGAACCATACAGTGCAGAATCAGTTCCTGCAAAAGTCATATCACGTTGTACTGGAGACACATCTTGCAATAACTTTGTTTTTATTGCATCCGCCGTGACTTTATTGCCTGAAGATTCAATTCCCATTATCATTGGTTCATACCGGATGGGTAAACCAGCTAGTAAGATTGTTCCAACCCATTCATCGGTTACAGACCCACATTTGTAAGCTTGTGAGCAGTTGTGACTATGCGGTTCACGTATTCCTCAACAGAACTATCTTCCTGCTTTGTAGTTATTAGAATACGGAGAAGTCCAACTCTCCTGCTTAAACCATCATCTTGAAAAGCCTTCGTTAAATTGTCCCAAGCTGCCTTTGCGGTGGTTGTGTTTTGAATATGTACATAATTCACCGGATCAACCAATAAGATCAGCTTTGATCGACATTTAGTGTTCTTTTTCTTATCCTGTTCTACACCAGATACACAGTCCCACAGATCCAAATCTTCCAGGCTTGTACTGCAAACTTCCATGTATCAAAATTCTCACAACCTTTAAGCCTTTCAATTGGTAATGAATTTTGAGCCATATTGCTGTTACAAACTTATGAAGTTGGTATTCTTTAAATGAAGCACTGAATAAAATAATCTGGGCCCATAACCAG